GCATAAATCTGGGGACTTGGTGGTATAAGGAGTGATGCCCAGTTAGGTGGAGTATAAAAGTGATAGGGAGGAACCATTCTTGGTTAACTGAATCACGATTAATAAAACTCAGAGAAATTGGGGTTCAACCTGAAGATCCCAAAAGCAAAACAGCCAACTACTGACTCTTACCTTGGCTTCAGTCCAAAATGGCGATCCTGCCTCCAGGAATCTCAGAATGAGACTGAGCCTGAGAGTTGTTTCGTCCCTTCTTAGAATCTTCTCTAGTTCTGGAATTAAAGGCATGTACCCCCCAGTTTCTATGGCAACTAGTGTGGCTACTGGAGTTAAAAGTATATGTCATTGTGGATACTGATATTAAAGGTGTGCATTACCATTACGTGGTCTGTAAGGCTGACCAGTGGGGCTGTTTTACTCTCAGATCTTTAGGCAGGCTTTATTTATTAAAATACAATTGAAATGCTATTATAGTTAGCTGAAATGAAGGAGGTCCAGTTGACCAAGATAAGACTTCCTGATGGGGGGGGGAGACTCATAAAGGGGTGTGAGCAGGGTAGGAAGGACCAATGTTTGGTTTTGAATATTTCAAACTTATATTGTGAAGGCTTTTTGATAAATATGTCTGAGGCCAGAAGGAGAGACCGGGACGAGGATACAGATGGAGGGCTTCTCAACACATTCGTCACATATTCTTTTCTGTTGATGATAGGAGCAAGAGTTTCTATTGACACCCGCCCCCCAAAGGACTTAGGGAATCTGAGTCTCCTGAAATGCTTTTTAATTAACTTTTTCTTTTTTATTTGAACATAACTCCATTTTTTACTTTTTAATTTATTTTTTATATTTAATTTTTAAAAAATAAAATAAAGTATCTTCTTTCATTATACATACTAACCCAAGTTTCCACTTTCTCCTCTCCTCCCATTCCCTCCACATAACTTCCCACCCTACCCCCATCCAGTCCTCAGAGAGGGTAAGGCACTTGCTTTGGGGAAGGTCCAAGATCCTCCCTATTATATTTAGGCTGAGCAAGGTATCCATCCAAAGATAACAGGTCCTCAAAAAGCCAGTACATGAAGTAGGGATAAATCCTGGTGCCACGGCCAGTGGCCTCTCAGTCTGCCCAAGCCATGCAACTGTCAACCACATTCAGAGGGACTAGTTTCTTCCTATGCTTGTTCCTTCCCAGTCCAGCTGGAGTTGGTGAGCTCCCATTAGCTCAGGTAGACTGTTTCAGTGGGTGAACCCATCATGGTCTTGCCCTCTTTGCTCATATTCTCATTCCTCCCACTCTTCAGCTGAACTTTGGGAGCTAAGTCCAGTGCTACACTGTGTGGGTCTCTGCCTCTGTTTCCATCTGTTGTTGGATGAAGGTTCTAGGGTGATACCTAAGATATTCATCAGTCTGACTACAGGGCAAGTCAAGATTAGGCCCCCTCTCCTCTATTGCTTAGGATCTTAGCTGGGATCATCCTCATGGTTTCCTGGGAATTTCTCTAGAGCCAGGTTTCTGCTAACCCTATAATGGCTCCCTCAATCAAGATATCTCATTCCTTGCTCCCATCTCTGTCCTTCCTCCATCTCCACTTTCTCATTTTCAAAGTAATTTTTATATTTGATGGTTGATGAGAGCAATAATATAAATTGGTAATAATAAAATCTACAATTGCCAGGTGGTGGCAGCGCATACCTTTAATCCCAGCACTTAGGAGGCAGAGGTAGGCAGATCACTGTGAGTTTGAGGCAAGCCTGGTCTACAAGAGCTAATTCCAGGATAGGTTCCAAAGCTAGAGAAATCCTGTCTCGAAAAACAAACAAACAAAAAAATCTACAACTCAAAAAAAGTAAATATCACAGGAGAAAATGAAGTAAAAATCTAGACAAGAGTGTCCAAGGCTGAAATGCTAAGTTAGAACACAAAAGAATGGCCTGTACAAAACAAAGAATGTCCTAAAAATGAACTTAGGCATTCAGCAGGCACAGCTAGCAGGTGAAACAGGTGGTTCCCAGTTAACACATCTGAAGAAGTCGAGGCAAGCAAGAATAGCTATTGGATTCTCAGTAAAGAAGATGTGGATGATTCTAACAGGAGAAGCTAGCTCACTTGCAAGGAGTGAGTTAATAAAGACACAAGCAAACCAAAGTCAAAAAGTGAAGACATGTCCTGGTTATGTATTTTTGTTTTGTTTTGTTTTTGTGAACTTGACACAAGCTAGAATTATCTGGAAAGAGGGAATCCCAGTTGAGAAAATGCCCCCATGAAATTGGCTTGTCGGCAAGTCTACGTGGCATTTTTCTTGAGTCCTGATTGGTGTGGGAGGACCTGGCTGTCTGTCGGTGGTGTCACTTCTGAGCAGGCAGCTCTGGAGTGTATAAAAACACAAACAAGTTAGGAGGAGCAAAACCAGTAAGCAGAGATTTTCCATAGCTTCTGCTTCCCTTTCACGTCCAGGTTTCTTCCCTGCTTAGGTTCCTGACTTGAGTTCCCTGGATAACGGACTATAAGCTACAAAATGGAAGAAGCCCTTTCTTCCCAAGTTGTTTTTGGTCATGGTGTTTTATCACAGCAAAAGAGATTCGTAACTAAGACAAGGAAGTAGTTGGAGAAGGCCAGGTACAAGGTAGACACTACTATTTCCAGAGGATAAAAAGGAATGAATATATATATATAT